GGGATGGGTGGGGTTTCTCTGCGACGTCGTGTGATCGCACGGGGAAAGAAAATGCGATGGGACGGGGATGCGACTGCTTTAGACCCCCGTGTGATAAGGTCCTGAGGGAGGAAACAGTATACCCCCTGTGGAAAAAAAAAACATGTCAAGAAAACCCCACAATAGGCTCACCTTAGGGTCAGCTTGCACCCTGAAGAGCAGTTTGCTAACCAAGATGAGAGCTCCGAGCTCTTGGTTTGCATATGCTAATACCGTTTTTCTAAAAGTTACAGAGTCGTGAACATTGCATATGTGTCAGGGTGACTTTTCACTCAATGAAATCCTTGAAACCAGTGTACTTCAAGGCCAGTGTAAACTAAGCGTTAAGCAAATCATCAACAAATTCCTTTCCTATGCTCAGTCTATACCCAGTTCTCTTTTATTGGGAAATCAACAGGCAGAATGTACTATGGTGTTACAAAATGCACTGAGCAGCCAAATTCCTTTGTCTTTGCACCTTTTACCTTTTTTTTTTTTTTTTTTTGTCGAAGCTTACAGCATGGTCTATCTAAACCAAAGCAAAGCCATGTCTAAAAATCCACTACAATATCACACAATCTGTCCTGTGACCATATGATAGCTTATTTTCCTTAAGTGCCGACAGCCAGTGTTGATATTAGATTCAGCTGTCATTAGCTTGGCTTCAGTACACAGAACAGCAGGTGCCATTTTGTTTATTGCCTCAGTCACCAAAACATCTTCAGCCCTTTCTTTATTCTATTAGATTTGTGTTCCATAGCGTTCTTGCAAGAGCACAGAGTAGCATGTGTGTCACTCTGTCGCACCACTTAATTTCCATTTTTGTGCAGAAAATAATTTACAAGGTGCCAGCTTGCCAGGCAGAGGTTTAAAGAAGGGTCCTTCTTCCTAGAATTCTCAGTTCACTAAAATCTGAAGATATAGGAAGTCTCCTTCTTTATATTTCATTTCCTGAGTATTACACAGAGTATATATTCATCAGAAAAGGAACTGAACATACGATCACCATTATTACAACATCTTTGTACAAAATGATGGTGTAATCACATTTGGAATGCTGTGTAGAATTCCCATTGTTACACCACAGAAAGGATACTGTAGAGCTGGCAAAATGATCAAGGGACTAGAGCAGGGGTAGACAACCTTTCCCCTTTAAGGGCCGAGAGACTTCAGCTCCCAGAAGCCTCAGCCATGTTGGCCAATAGTCCCATGTTGGCCAATAGCTCCTGGGATTCTGGGAGCTGAAGTCCCTCGGCCCTTAAAGGGGAAAGGTTGCCTACCCCTGGACTAGAGGAACTCCCCTAGGAGGAAAAGTTACTCCTCCACAGGCTTTTGAATTTAGAGGCAAAGGTAATAACGGATATGATAGAAAGTTAGGAAATCATGCTCAGCATTAAGAAAGCAGAGAGAGAGTTTTCTTCTCTGTGCCCTAACACAAGAACCAGGGGTCATTTCATGATGCCAAATGGTGTAAAATTAAGAATACTACTTTCATATAATACATAGCTAAAAGATGGAAATGCCACAAGATATGACAATGACGATCAATTAAGATGATTTTAAAGTTAGAAAAGTGATTGGAATTATGATTGTTAGTTCATGCAGTGGCATCAGTATGGGTTTGTGGTCCATACCGGATGACACCATAGGGTGTGAGGTGGGGGAGTAGGCATCAGCAGCGAGGCATGCCTTGAAAGAAAAGGATTCTTCTTGGTGTGCCACTTCCCTTTGGGTATGTGTGTGAGGACCTTCTTCTCTGTTCCCCGCCCCTTTCTCTTTGCTCCCAGTCTGTTTGGCTTTTTTTTTGCCATTGTAGGTGGGCTGGGCTGTTTGCTGTGTCTTCCTCTTTCTTTAACGGTGGAGATCTATTGTATTTAAAACAATTGTGCTTGCATCACATCTTTGCTATCTCAGTTGAGGAAAGGGATCATGGAAGCAGGATGCTGGGTTCCCTGAGGTGAAACCTTCCTCCATCTTTGCACCCCCATCTCAGAAGATCTATTGGGGTAACACCATAAGTTACCACACAGGGTGACACCAATACTGGTCACGCCCTTGAGTTGGCCCTCCCCAGGACCAGAGGCAGTGAATAATAGCTTGCATTAATTGCAATTTACTACAGACTCGTTACTGCTAAGTTCGGTGGTCAGCCCAGGAGCAAGAGGGGTTTGCACATCTCCAGCTTTTAAATGAGAGCCAGCATGGTATACTGGTTTGTGTGTTGGACTATGACTATGCAGAGCAGGGATTGAATCCCAGCTCAACCATGTAAACCAACTAGGTGACTTTGGGCAAGTCACATACTCAGAGGATGGCAATGGCAAACTCCCTCTGAAGAAACTTGCCAAGAAAACCTCATGATGGGGTCGCTGTGAGTTGGAAACGACTGGAACATAATAACAACAACAAAGATTTTAAATACCACTTGAATGTGTACATAAACCTAAACTATATTAACATTAATGCAATTCTTTTGACTTTCTTGAAAAAATGTACATGTTGGTTTCAGCATTAAAAAGAGGCATCACCTTTAAGGGGTGTTCATCTATCTCTGTTTTGGTGACTATTAATACTATACAATTACAGTGCTATGATTCCACTTCAGCCACCATGATTCCTTCCTATGGAATTCTAGGATTTGGTGAAGGACAAGAACTCTCTAGCTGAAAATTGTAAAAGTCCCAGGAGGTTCCAATGATATGCAAACACAACCTTCTAACTAACCTCTGCTCAGTGTAGGATCAGGGTCTGAAAGCAAGCATCAGACAGGATGTGCTTGGAAGCCCTTTATAACAATATATTAGAGCATTTTTATTGTGGCTGGCTTTTATTTTATTTTTTTACTAGTGATTCACTTCCTAACAGCAATATATTAGAAAGGTGTTTGGGGGCCTAGAGTTTGTGTTGGCAATTATTCCACTAGAATTGCTTTCTCACAAACTTTTATGAGAGTGCTGTTTCATTTGTGCTTGGCAGTCTCTAACCTTTGACAAAAGCAAATGAATATACTGTACTTTTTAAGAGTAAGTGAATCAAGTGTTCATGGGATGATAATGAAAACAGTGTTATCCTAAAGCATAGAGCTTTAACCTCCAAGGAATTTAGGAGATGTATGTGTTTCAGAATATGTAGTTTCCTATAAATCTCCAAAGCATATGTTTACATTAAGATTTATCAGAGTGATTAAAAACAGAACTTAATAAATAAATAAATAAATTAGCAAAATGTTCCAGCTTCTGTCTTCTTCAGTTGCTTTTAAATAAAGTTACATTGAAGGTGAAACCTAAACACCCTAAAAATGCACTGGATACTGATATTGGAGGTTAAACAGGATCAGTTAGTACTTGGATGGAAGTACATTAGTGGACATCACTGCAGTTTGCTGCAGAAGCAAATCCCATCTTTTAGCTGTTCACGGTGTAAAGAAGAACATACCTTCCAACATTTTACAGATGAAAATGGGGACCTGTGTGGCCAAACAACATCAGAGTATGATCATGATGACAGAAATTATTAATATGGAAGAACACACAAGCTGGGAGAGGCTGCAGCAAATTGCTTTTGCCTGAGCCTATCGGGAAGGGCAAGCGTTTACCTCCTCATCCCCTCTCCCTCTTGTTGAGTTAATTGAGTGCAAACTACTTTTGCATTTTGAATTCACTTTGTAGCAATTGAAATAACCTGTGGACAAAGTGAGAAAAGAAGTGGAGAAGAGGGAAACTGGGGCAGTAGGAAAAAAATGGGAAGACAGCAGTGAAAGAAAGAAATTGGCAGCATGTGCTTTCGTAGACTTCAGTCCGAACTCATGCTGCCAATTTCTTTCTTTCACTTAGGGCCTCTACAGATGGGCCCTTTGGGCCATCCTGGAGGCAGGGATGGGGAGGGGCAGCTGCACGCCAGCCACCTCAACCCCTCCCCGAAGACGTCCTGACGCTGTGCACCTTTACACACGGCGTGCGGCGACAGGACATCCTTCTGGTGAAGCCTTTTGACACGTTGCACTGGAAGGGGCACCAAAGAGCTGTGCGGTGGCTCTTAGAGTGGCCTTTTGCCGGCTCTGAAAGGAGCGGCATTTTGCCGCTCCTTTCCGGGCCAACAAAAGGGAGAATCGAGGCCGCACTGTCTGGCAGCCTCAGCCTCGATCCTCCGCTTCCAAGGGCAGCCCAGGGCCACCCGTCTGCATCCCCCCTTAGTCTCAAAGATGCTACAAGATCTCTCTCCATATAGTTTTGAAATCAAATCAGAACATTGGAAGGGATGGAAGCACGTCCTTTTATCTGGATTGATTCCGCCACCCTTCAGCTTCACTGAATGAACCTGAATTCTAGTGTTATGAAAAGGACAGAGAGAGATGTCTACTTTCCTGTCCACTTCCTCCACATCATGCATTCATTTTCTACATAATTCTCAATACAGTGACAGTCATGTTTTTCCCCCCATGGCAGGACTTCTGTGTCTTTCTGCATGACTGGCAGATTTCTACAGGTAGATATTTCTTAGTGATCTTCAGGGGCTCATACCAGTGTTGCTAAGGGCATGGAGAACCTACTGATGGTAAGTAGGAGACAAAATAACCTTAGCTGCACCTGCATTGCAGAAATAATGCAGTTTAACACTGCTTTAACTGTCGTGGCTCTATCCTATGGAATTCTGGGATTTGTAGTTTGTTGTGGCACCAGGGCTCTCTGACAGAGAAGGCTAAATATCTCACAAAACTACACATTCCAGAATAACACTGAGCCATGGCAGTTAAAGTGGTATCAAACTGTATTATTTCTGCAGTGCAGATAATATT